AACATTCATTAAAAGAACCAGCAACAAGGGAAGACGGAGCCGGTCATCACCAGCGGTAAAGAACCCTTTACTATTGAACAACACGATGTTCTGAAAGAGTTCCTGGTACTCAAACCCTCATAAATCACCCTATTGGAGGTTGGAGGCTGCCATCCTTAAAGAGTTCGTTCACACACTTTCGCCAGTGCTAACAGCTCTATTTAACTAGTTCTTGGAAAACGGAATTATACCTGATTGTTGGCAATCTGCCTCCATCACTCCAGTACCTAAAAGGGGAACCTCAAAGTTCCGTCCCAATGCCTGTACGTCAGTTGTGTTGAAGCTTTTCGAGAATTTACTCCTTCAAGGAATCTCATCTCAGCTGAATGTGCAAGACCATAACGAATTTGCATACCGCCGCTCTCGCTCCACATTAGATGCCCTAGCCTCTCTGAATCACTATATTACATCAGCATTAGATGGACACAAGATAGCTGTCAGAATGTGTTTCTTGAATAACCTCGACGCCTTCAATTGTGTTGAAAGGTCTAAGTTGTTAAATATTTTGTTTTCCAATGGAGTATCGCCTACCATAAATACGGTACTCATAAACTATTTCACCAATCGATCACAGTTCACACGTTGCCTCGATAGTTTCCCTTTTCTTCTTAATTTCTACACTAGGCGTATTGCAGGTTGCCATTCTATCCTCGTTATTCTTTTCCACTTATATCTCATCCATGCCTACTTTACAAAATTCCCTGCTCATTAAATATGCGGACGATATTGTGGTAGGGATCGCCCACTCTGATACATCTGTCACTTTCACTCTCCAACTTGGGCTTACTAACCTTGTTGAGTGGTTCATTGCACATAACTTAACTCTCAATCTGTTTAAATGCATAGACATGCTGTTTTCAATTCACAAATGGAATCGTTATACTAATCTCTTGAATTTCCTTCCCACTTTAAACATACACGATGATACTATTATCCAACCCGTAAATGTCACCTATCTTGGTGTGTTAATCAGCCGAAATTTAAGCTGGTCTGATCAAGTGACTTCTGTATTTGGAAAGGTAAAGGAAATTATCATTTTATGTTGTATGCCTGAAAGCCTTATCCATCCATCGCTTCTTGATTAGCCGTTTTATTTTTGTTTACTACTGTAGAGGTTCCCTTTTCAGGGATGTCTAAGATGAACTTTAAATGGATTTCCAGATCCTGAGCACATCTATCCAGATGTAGTGGAATTTCCCGTGAAATTCTCTGTCACTTCATCGTTTCTCAACACACACACACATGGTCATGCTTTTCGTTATCCACAAAAATCATAAATAACCATTCACTTTCGTTACACCAAGGTCTTATAAAGTGTGTCGTTTTTTTAAACCGGGTACCGCCATAACTGTATATTTGCTCGTACGACCGCCTATGGGTCTTCTGTGGTGCCATATCTTGCCTGATTTCTTGTTAACCCAGAACACATCACTTCGGAACTGAACTCAGTCATATCAGAAATTGTTTTGTTTTCTTCTTGCTCACCACAGTTTTGATATAGTTCTTCTTGATCATTGTTGGTTGACTATGTGACTGTTGAATAGTCACCATTCGGAGTGCATAATGCAAATTCTTGTCTTGACTGGACATGATTTTTGTTCTGGATGATCCTAATACATCTCAAGGTGTATGTATGCCATGGAAGTAGAACTACCTCGTCAGCTCCTCGCGAACCATTTGTCATATGATCCAAACAAACAAATTAGTTACCCAACTTAACTTGACTTGGACAAAGGAGGAAACTTTTGGAGAAAGTACAAACAAATCCGAATGGCTTTGTGTGTGTCATTCCATTTGATGTACCGAAAAGAATCAGGACAAATACGGAAGGATAAGATCAATTCATCCGGATGGCAAATTGAGGTACCGAGCAGTTTCTGGTTGTCTATGTTGTGACCTGCGGTGGACTGAAACCTTTACCGCGCAGTGTTTGATGCGGCCTGCTCCACATGCACGCACGCACGCCTGCACGCATGCACGTCATGCGGACTTATTCCACTACAGAGTCAATCCGCCTCAGCGAATCAGATGCCAGTATTGATCTGCCCGCAATGATTGGTTTGTTGACTGCCTAGCTTGACAGCATTCCGCTTTTTTGGTGCAAAATCCGCCGGATTTAGGTGTTACCATCCTGTTTGCTCATTAGCCTATAGACCGGCTAGGTGTACATTTACATTCTAAAAATAGAAGAACTGCTTAATTCCTTGTGTAGTTATTTAATTGCTTAAACAGGGCACAGTGGTCTCTGTAGTGGTTAACAGTCTGGCTGATTTAAGGCACGTGTATTCAACCTCAGCTTTAGATACCGTCAGGACCGCACATCCGAGCGCTCAACAGACGCACGCGAGCATACACGATGCAACATCATATCTATACTACTTGCTATGAAATATATATGTGTGCGTGTACCGCGCAATCGACTAGACGAAAACTGCTTGGACGATAACTAAACATGGTTACAACGGCAAAACAATTATTGGGCTAAGCAGAACCACCATCTTACTGATTCATAACTGGTTGCCCTTAATTGAATGATCGATTCACCTGTTAGCTTGTCTTTTGTTTCCATCAATAACTGAGTGCAGCATCGTGCTCGTGTCGTGTTTTCTCTCTCCCTATGTTGCACAAAGAGGTGTTCGTAGACGAAGAGGAAGCGGACAAAACAGATGCTCAACTAAAAATCATGCATGCGCACACAATGACCTCAATGACCTTTCTCAACTCACTTGCATATGTGTCACTCTGTACTCTCCGAATGTGAAAGAGGTACACAATCAGGGCTTGAACACAACGTTCAAGGTAGTTTTCTTTAGCTGCAAGCTGCTTTTAAGCAGCCCCACTAAGAGCTCAATGCAGTCCAGTAGACTAGGACTGGATTGATGATATAGCTGTCTATTCTGTTGGCAGCTGGCTCAGGCAAGGGTGTGTGAGAGGAAGAATACTTGAATAATTATGAAGTTTGAACCGTTTGTTCGTCACCTTTCTCATCTTTGGACAATAGGTTTCATAAATCCACCCAATAGAATAAAGTTTGGCACATTAATCCCGTTTCCCAAAACGGAATAAAAACAAGTGGAAGCTGGAACCTTGAAGGAACCAAAACTAGACAGATTGCACACTTTAAAGGACAAACAATTAGACAGTTCCTAAAGCTTGAAATATTGCGTCTCCTTTATCCAACTGGTTAGAACCGAGAAAAGACAAATACTGTGAAATGTTGACATTTATTTTGATCTCTTCAGTCGCTACAAAGTAAAACAATCTGATATTTATATAAGCGAGTTTTGATAACTAAATTGATTAAACGGACAATAGTCAGGGAAGCGGCGGAGTGGATGGGGTGAGAAATCAGTATCGAACGTTTCCTGTCGCACAGCTTCGATTGATACCGTTTACCCAAGGACTTCGTTTAGACAATCAAAAACAGAACCGGCCAAATAATTCTGCCTCACATCGTTTACCAGTCCACCTGAAATTGCGGTGATACTTACATCGGTAGGAGGAATCGGCCCCGGGCACAACGGATTTGGTTGGTACAATCAATAACGCAAGAAAGTTTTACAGGTCAAACTGATAAGAGAAATCTAAGGACATCAAATGCAAAACATGTCTTGGTAACTGGTAACTGCATCGTTGACCCAAAACCTTTGGTCATGCCGTTATTACGTAACATGAACCCCAGGATTTTAGCGTTTTGCGAGGCGATGCTAATCAAGTTACGTAACCCAATCTTGTGCCCACAAACGTTTCTTACACAATCAGTCAGACTGCCATGAAACTGATTTCCCACCCTACCGTCTCCTCCGTTTCTTTGACTATTGTCTGTTTAACCACTGTAGTTATCAAAATTTGCTTGTATAAATACCAGATTGTTTTACGTTGTAGCAACTGGAGAGATCAAAGAAGTGTTAAAATCTCGCAGTATTTGTCTCCTCTCAGTTCATAAAGTACCAAATTGACACATTTCACTTGTTAGTTTAAATTACAATATTAATAATTGCATATTTCAAACTATCATAGGACGAAGTTGACCGGTCTTTGGAGAACCGCACACTCGTAATTCCTGCACTGTATGCATCGAAATTGGACACTCGAAACGTGAAAGCACGAATCAGTTTGAAAAATGAAACACGATGCATTTTTGGATCATTATTTGTTTCGTTTGAATCGTGCATCTTAATGCAACCTTGCAGGAAAGCAGATTACGCAAAACGAACACGGGGAATACAATATTGGACTAGCATAAATTGCCCCTTACACCGCATTTACATTATAGTGTTGTTTCTTCAACAGAATTCTATCAGCTGGTTCAGGCCAAGGAACACCTTTTTATACGAATGAAATAAATTAAACATATCACATCATTTTATCCCGTTTCTGTTGAGAGGCAATTAAAGGACCACAAAATCAACCGCCAAACGCACTTGCTCGTTTGTGTGTCCGCACTTGAGATGGTTTAATGCAAAACCAGTTCATTCGGCATCCCCACTCGGTGTACTGGTCATGATCACGTTATCTGTGATGGTGGGTCTAAGTAGATGCGCGTTGTCCGGCACCTGGTGTGACGGATGACCGTACATTGCATACTGATAATGTTCCACATTTATACCGCTCGGACTGAGCATCGTACCAGATGGTGAACGATCCACAATTGATGTAACCGCCATGATGGTCTCGAATTGGGATGGACTGATAACTGGACTAGCTGTGGACTCCACCGGACTGTCGTCTGCCAGTACCGAAATGGTGGGATTCATTGGATCCGGGTTCTCGTCCGCTTCACAATCTGGTTGCTCCGGTTCGTCCGGTTGACATAGATCGCTTGTATGGGAACGATGATACTCGGTCTCGTGGAGTGTGATAGACGGATGCAAACTGGTCTCCGATCGCATAGTCGGGGACAGATGGGTGGACCAGTGCTCACTCACCCCGTCTCCTGAATGACTGGGATCACATATGTGGGGGAAATCGTTTGACTGGGGCATCTGGTATTGATGATGCATACGAAGCCAGTCGAGTGTGGGCAAATCCACAGATCGAACCACATTGACCAAATCCGAGCAGATTTCCAGACTGTTGTTACGAATGATTGCACCCTAAGATAGAACCGAACAGCAAAAATGGTATGTTTTGTTTTCGTTGTTAATCTCTGTCGCGTAGTTTTCTAAAAATGAAGAGATCGCCAGACGTCTATTGAAAAAATATTTTGAACAACTGATTGCCTTTTTCTGGGTATCGAAGCAATGAGTTGAAATACTAAGGGAATAATGATCATCCGACTTCATAAAGTCACAGTACATTGGCCAAATTCAACTGTGAATCTTTGTAGCGTGCTATTATAGCATGTGGCTGTGTGCATACTGTGAAGTTTTCTGTGTTTATTCACATATTTCTCATTACATAATATATATATATATATATATACATATATGAGAATGAGCATGATGCCAATGCTATCAGAATAATAATGGAAAAAGGGAAATTCAGGTATGATTGAAATCGTTGTGGTGAAAAACAATTACAGAGAACAAAATAGAACATAAGGAAGAGTGTACATTTGTTGATTTACTGGTTTTGTCTGAGATTTTTTGTATTTTCTTGTATGTTTGTCTACCTATTGTTTGCGTACGGAGTTCCATCAGACACACTGTGAAGCATTCGCGTGATGGACTTCTATGTTATGTCATCTCATTTAGTGCCTCGAACCATTCACAGCTTACATCAGTTAGGGTCCAATCTGGAAGGTGGGTGGCACTAACCGAATCCAGTGCTGAAACTAACTTCTTCACATCCCAACACTTTATTTATCATTATAATTTACAAGTGTCTTCTTATTCCGTACTGTGTGCAGAAAAAATCAAGGTAAGTGAAAACAATTGATCCCCATGAAACTGCATGGTATTGTTAGAATATTAAACCTAATCTGATAATCTGAAAGACAGTTGAACAACCACCCGGATCAATATCATGAATATTCTATTGGGCGGTTATATGATGATGGTTATTGTTATATGTTGAACCCTCTGATCTTTGTGTCTGAGTTACCGGTTTTTCATTACAGATACAGAATAATCCATACGACTATGAATCACATCCACTAATGAGTTAAATTGGAATGGGTAGGTAGCGGCAATTCTATGCTCTCTTCTGTCCCAGACACGTAATTTGTATGTACCTTTGAACAAGGGCTAATTGTCCTATCATGAGACAATATACATTGAGACAAACGAAATTATCTCTTCACAACATTCTGCTAACTGGTTTGAGGTTTATATTTCGATGATCAACCGATAAGCATTAGAAACAAAAAGAAAAACTAAAAACCTTGCTTCTGAACTTATCCATAAATCGATAAAATATTTTTTCAAATACAAACAATCCAAATAAATGGTTGTTTTGGTAGATTTGAAGTTCTTGTGTCGATTGTGAAAAGTTCAGTAGCCTCGGTTGGATTCGAAATCACACATGGATGCCATCTACGGTTTGTACGCGCACGCTCTACCAGCTGAGCTACGAGACCAAAAAAATATTTAAAAAAAATGTTTTGCACTCATTGAACATACTATCCGGTTTCTCATTGTTTGTTTTACTGGTATAGGAAGAGTTGCTGCAGCTAAGGCGTATTTACTAACTAATAACGTGCTATTGTACCTTCGGAGTTATGACCAATAGTTTACCAATAATTTCAATATTGCAAACATATTCGCGTCATTGGAATTCCTGTCACATACACAGGAACATAGAGACTGCAGAAATATGTATTCACTTTCTATAATGCGTTTCTGGTATCGCCCTTATGATCAAGCGTTGTTTTGTCTTTATATCTACGAAATCGTTGCTACTGAACTGACCAACAATGTCATTCACCGCCACCCTCTGAGCTAGCTAAGCCTATCCTTACTTGTTTCATTTACATTTATGCTACAGTCAGCCTTTGATAACCCAATCTGCCCATTTTTGCCGTATTACTATGATTGATAATACATTCCATTACATTTGTATTCATGTTTCCATTTATTACCAGTCCAAAACGACTGATCGTCAATTGTCAGTCTATGCTCTCACTGCCCGCTGCTAGTTGCTAAAGGATACTGATGTCCAGAGCTAAATGTCACCGATGTCAATTAATCGTCCGTTGCAATTCACTTTGTCTGATAGTGAACTGTGACCTCCAAATAACTAACTGATCGCATCATACACCGTCATCAACAATGTGATTACCCCACAAAACCATTTTCACTGAATCATGTCGAATCTATTCGGCTGGTACACTCGTATTACTGTCAGCCATAAACAAAACTGAAAGGAATCTATTGGAACCGAAGAGTCGCCTACCGTTCACGGTTTGGTCAGACTGCGGTGCTCATTTGATTGAAAATATGGGATGTGACAAAATGTGTCAAAATATTTCACATCCCGGGTTAAAGTTTAATGACAAAAATTCCCGGGGGAAATTTAGTTTTTTTTTCCAAATTTTCGCCTTGTTCGATGTCTGGTTTGCCTCATAATCTGGTTTAAAATGCCAAATTTCCGGGGGCAGAAAAATAACGCAAGCTGATTCTCACACAATATATATGATCATTTCTGAACAGAATGCAATACTAACATTTTTTTTCTTTTTTTTTCAATTTTAATTCCTTTTATCAAATATGCAATGAGACAATTTTCAAGAAGAGGGAATTGGCTAATCAAAGGGAAAGTCGGATGGTGATTGTGGGATTCGAATACACATCTTCTGGGATGATAAATCGGTGATTTTCACCAACCGGGACACCACCACACGGATCATGATGATCTGTATCATCAGATGCTATTGTGAACTTCCGCGGAACAATTCATTGAAAAAAAGCACTGTGCCAGATAGAATTCAATCACTTTTCTTCCTACTCATCCGAGTAAAGGTTCGTTGGACAAAATATTTTCGTTCACAAGGCTATTAGTTGACTCCATCGAACAGTTCGAATATGACAAATATTCGTTGTCAAACAATCGTTTGATTAGGCCACGCTCAAGCTGGAGCCAATCTGTTCAGTTCAATCTTCAACATTGTTCACAATCCATGCAGGACTGGGTGAACATAAATGTTTGGGTACAAATGAATACTTGGATACCGAACAACGACCAACACATATTGGTGTCGTGATGTTTGAAAAATAGAAAACGGTCCTTTCAGCTGTTTGGTTGCCGAGTGGNTAGTATACTTACGTCTTGCCATTGATGTACCGAGTTTGAGCCCCAGTTGGGTTGATGATTTCGTGCACTGTTGATGAGAATTTACCATGTTGAAATAGCTGTCCAGTGCTTCCTAGCTTTTCAGTTCACGTTTGATTTGCTCTTCATACAACGAAATTCACTGTATGAGCATACTATGATGGTACAATAACATGCACTTGAGCTGCGAGAGGTCCGATTTTCACTGCCATGTTCCCGGTCCCAATAACAGCAGACTCATGCTGGTCATTCATATCCATTTGTGGATTGCAGTGTCTATTCCGGTGATCCGATGCTACGAATCATTCTTACTCTTGCTGACAGAAAAAAGTTAGTTTTCCTGAATGCATTGGGATGCACGCAGTTCACAAACAACCCCGACTCGGGAACCGCTTAGTCTACTGACCACACATTTCGCCCTGAGTCCCGTTGTAAAACGAAGAACCTTTGAGCGGAAATTTATAGTGGGCAGATTACCACATGAATGGTGAATCTAATGGGTTATTTGAATCAGTTTCTTTCATGAATCAGGTAGCATGAATGTCTTGAGTTTGTGTGAGATTACCATGCGTTGAGGGCCAAAGCGGACTTATCGGTTTTATCAACCATTACCTACACCATCATCGATGTGGCAGTGGTCACCGGCTCTATTGGGTATCGAGGTGTATTGGACACCTTGATCGTTTGACCCCGGCCAAGGGGCATACTATCCTGGACCCCGACCCCCAATGGACTGTGGTTTTCACACAGCGCCCCGCTGCCTTGCGGGTTAAGCTTTGGTTAGACAAAGGCTCCGGTTGTGGATTCCTCCAGAAAATTTACCTGCCTTGGCCTGGTAGTATTCCGCCCACATGCAAATCATGGAAGATTTTTCTTTTTTTCATAAAGATTGTCGTATCATGATTTGTTTGGCACACAGTCTGGACTCAGACGTGTGTGAAAATAAACAGTAAAGTGAACAGTAAACAGTTCAGATTAATCCCCAATGACTGGGATAGTAGTATTGCCAAAGCAAAGATTTGCAGAATGCGAGAAAGAATTAGATCTGTTAGGAATGTGGTGAAAGGCAGAGGCAGCAGAGGCTCCAGAGAGTTAACCATTGTATCTTGTTTATTCATTACTCGGCTAGGCATGTACAACGAGGTTCTCATCATGGAAGACCAAACTAGCACAATTAATATGTGTTAGTATGTGTGTTCGTTCATCAACAATTTCTTACATGAATAGACTGATCAACTCGAGGCTTAGAGATTGTTTTGTTGTTTTGTTTTTCTAAATATCGGGTTTGTGTAGAGTCTCGTTTTGCGATTGGTAAGTGTGTGTATGGTTTGGATATTGGAGAAAGAAAAAACCATCGATCAAAATACCTTGGATGTAGGAGATTCAGGCACACTGACATGACTGATTGGTGATTCGGCCGACACGTGTGTATTGCACATGATTGTATCCTCTTTCAGATCCGTGTGTCCGAAACAACACAACTCATGATGTGGTGTGGACTCAGGTTGTGTGGCCATTATCGGTGTGGGTGGTTTCAGATACAGATCCAACTGATCAAATGAACGTCGCAATTCCTCATCATTTGGAACGGTCAGATTGGTGCTATGAGTCACATGACAACAAATATCATGCGATTCTGCATTGTTCGTACTAGTCGATTGTTCTACATCTATTCGAAATAGAGCAGGGATAAAATGGGAACAAGTGATCACTGTTACCATTGAATGAAAAGCGGAACTCAGTGTATTGTTCTCTGTTTATTGTGATTGTATTATTTAGATTAACAAAGTAGCACAATGATGATGCTCGGCTGAGTGAATTTCACGTAAACGAACGCATGGCGTGTGTGTGTGTGTGTGTGGTACTTAAATTTGTCTACCTCGGAAGTAAATAATTGATTAAAGAAGATGAATGTTTCGGGGTTGTTTTGATTTTATTTCTATGAAGTACACAATTATGCAAGGAGTTCACAAGAATGAGGGAGCAGACAATCACAAGCTATCACGTGATATAAAGAAGAGAGGCAATTTGTCGCGTATTTTTGGCTTTGAAAACAAAACCTCTAGATTATGTGATGATAACAAACACCATTTGACCAACTTTGCCAGCAAAATGTGATTGTCTGAGGATTTCCTCATTGTCCGAAGTTGCACATCGGAGCCATTCGGATCAGCGGAAACATGTATCCTGGATCGTTTTGCTACACATGCACGCGTGCATACTGCAGTTGCAGTAATGATCAATAAATCGTCCGGAAACACAATATCTTAGGCTGAGAACGGTTGCGAATGACATCACTCAGCAAACACAATTGTTATCAGAGTGGTGCCAGATTGATGAGCCATTCACGTTGTTCATGCAGCCATAGATGGTACTTTTGAAAGACCAGTGTCTTGGTGCATTTGAGAAGTCTGTCATTATAGAGAAATTTGAATGAGTCTGTCGGCATAACACGATACTTCATTTTGACCAGGTATTATGCGATGGATTATAGGAGTTTCCCAGGATTCCCCGGTGAAGTCATCCTTCCAAATTGTACAATAATTCTTTTCTTGACCGATGCTGATCACCATCACTTTTGGTTTTACACTCTGTATTTTCTGGCTATACATTAATAAACACGTGAGCTGTATTATCCACGTGTGTGGATACTGTGAAATGATCCAGGATATATGGTGAAAAACGTATGCTTCTGGTTTTTTTTATTCGAGATTGTTACGACCAAACACGTGCTTTCAATTCCGATTAAGCCCGTTCGGCAGAGCACCCTTATATTCGTGATACCTATGGTCTCAGTGTCAAGTTGTTTTAAGCTTCCGTTTGTTTTCTTCTACAAATAGTTTCTTCAGAAAGATATGCAGTATGCGTTAGTCCATTTTCGTGCTTCGTGTTTGGGTCATGCGTGCATCATCATACTTGGCGTTAGTGTGCGAGATAAACTCGTTAGGAAACACCCTCTCGGTTCAGGGTGGTGAATGCAATCGGCACCGTTTTTCTTTGTTTTTTGACTCATTACTTGGATCGGATGGGTTTACTGCACCGGTTTGCATTGAATCAAAAAACGTGGGAGGGGAAAGTATCAAGTCTTGCTTTCCGTCCTGCTAGCTAATCTGTTTTAACCCATTCTACTGATTTCGCGCCAACCAATTGTTGATCGCTTAAGAACGTGTCTGTTAGGTCGGCCAGTTCATGGGCTTGGTTAACCTTGCTCAACGCTGTCCACGGCGTACAGTACAGTGTGTTGACTAGATCACCTGTGTGGTATTTCACCGGTGCTGATCATTTTCAGCGGATTACAAGTAAGCGAACAATGTAAAGTTATTAACGGTAACAAGACAATTAGCATGCACGGTCGAAACGTAGCCCACTACCTACATAATTCTATCAGATCATCATAGAACTGTGTTTTATTCTTTCAAATGGAATGTACGAAAAGATGTGCAAACCATGGATTTTGTCCCGATCTAGGTTCCTGGCTAACGTTTACTGGCTTTACCATGATCGAACTGGGATACGATTCTGATACACTAGACTAACATTTGAAACATCAAGTCTACTTCATATCCATTTCATCAATACATAAAGATGATAGATGTCTCGAAATGGTAACACATCATTTAATCTCCTCAATCACAGACGTAAAACCAACAGGCTCATACATATGACACATCGGATCGTTCAATATGGGGTTGTTTCGCTTATCGTGGGGTGAACCTTCTATTTCTATATTTAGTAACCTTTGTTAGTCGGTACACGTCGATTGATCCAACATTGAGAGAGCACAAGTCAAAGACCCATCCGATTCAGGTTTTCGAAAA